AAAGTCAAAGCCTCAATGTGGAGGGAGGAGTGTACTAGCAACAGATCCCTTATTTTCCTCTAAAGCACCAGCTCAAGATCAACATCATTTTACTGCTTTTTCCTTTCTCATCTTACCATCTGTATGTTCCTGGGCAAGCTCATCAGTTAAACCTCCCACCTTGTCAGTTTTGAGATGGTGGAGTGGTTTGAGCATTGAGCTATGACTCTGGGTTTGGCCATGGCTCAGCCATGGAAACTCGCTGGATCACCTTAGGCATGTCATACTCTCTCAGCCTCAGAGGAAGGCAAAAGGCAAATCCCCTCTGAAAATATCTTGCCAAAACCCCCAGGATACCAGGATACGTTTGCATCAGGGTCATCATATCATATCATATAATATCTTTCCCCATGGATCGAGGTGGGGAACAACAACAAATCAACAATTAACAACATTAATTAACCAAATGCATCTGAGGAAGTAGACTTAAGTCTAGGAAAGCTCATGCTGCCAACTTCTCTCTTTCAGTTAGTCTCAAAGGTGCTACAAGATCTCTCTACATACTGATTCCACAGACTAACACAGCTATATCTTTGAGCGCCAATTAAAACACATTAATTAAAACATGCAACAGTTTAAAAGGACAAATAAGACATACACATTTTTAAACAGTCAACATTGAAAATTCAACATCTTAATTCACAATTTTAAATTATCTGGATATATCTGCAGGAACCATAAGCTGGAAATGACCTGAAGGCACACAACAACAACAAACCTGTTGAAAGGTGAAATATAATACCGTATTATTTCAGCTTAAGGTCGTCATAAGTCAGAAATGGCTTTAAGGTATACAGCAACAACCTTGTCAGGTGTGTGTGATTTTTATCCACTAGACTCCAGTAGTCACAGGAATGGGGAGACTCCAATTACAATCTGCATTCAGCCCTGAAGGCTCTTGGAAGTGACACACTCTAACTCAATTCAGAATTGTTGCCAGAAAGAATTGGGTGGCGGCGGCAAGACGAAACCATGCCCTGACAGGTTTCTCAAAGAAATGTCAAAATGAAAGTGTAATAAATTGTGATGTTCCTAACTGTTCTGCAGTGAAATGTGTGTGTTGTGTGCCTTCAAGTCTTTTCCGACTTAGGGCGACTCTAAGGAAAACCTATCATGGGGTTTTCTTGGCAAATTTCTTCAGAGGGGGCTTGCCACTGCCTTCCCCTAAGGCTGAGAGAGTGTGACTTCCCGATAGTCACCCCAGTGGGTTTCATTGGCCAAGCCAGGATTTTAAAACCCTGGTTTCCAGAGTCATAGGGCTTTTACAGACTACCAGAAATAATCCATTTTGAGACTACTTCAACTGTCCTGGCTCAATGCTAGGGAATAATGGGAATTGTAGTTTTTTCTGAGGCATTGAGCCCTCTCTGTCAGAGAGCTCTGTTGCCACAATAAACTACAGTGCCCATGATTCCCTAGCACTGAGCCAGGACAGTTAAAGTCATCTCAAGCTGCATTATTTCTGGCAGTCTGTAAAGGCCCATAGTCAGACGCACAAACCACTACGCCACGCTTAGTTCCTTTGCCAGTTTGCATTTCCTCATTTCAAGCAGTGATTCCCAAACTCTGGTCCTCCTGGTGTTTTGGACTCCAGAGCCCAGAAGCCACAGCCATCTTGACCAATAGTCTGGGATTCTGGGAGCTGAAGTCCAAAACCACCTGGAAGGCCAGAGTTTGGGAATCACTGGAAGAGTGGAAGAATAGAATTGCCTGCTTCAAATGGTAGCAGACTCTGGGGCCGTACAGATGGCCTCTAAGGGGCGGTTCTGTGCCGCTCCTGGAAGTGCCGAATCGGGGCCACGGCAACCACATACTGCAGCCCCTATCCAGCTTTTTTGTCGCTCCAAAAAGAGCTGGCAAATGCCGGTCCTTTTTGGAGGGGCAAAAAGCTGCCCATATCGCTACTGCCACGGTTCTTTTGGGTCCCTTTGGGGCGCCGTGCGGTGGGCTGTGTGCCGTGACGGTGGCACGGGGCGGCTGGTGCGTGGTTGCCCCACCTCAACTCCACCCCCAGGCCAGCCCTTTTGGCCAGTCTGCACAGGCCCTCTCTCTGTCTCTCTTGGTTGTGTTATCCCTGCCTGGCAGGGTAGACAAGATGGCCTCCGGAGGGCCCTTCCAACC